CTTTGAGGTCCCTTCCAACCCGAACTGTTCTTTGATTCTATGTGAGAGGCCATTTTAGTACGACACAATTAGCCTGGAACTGGGTGTGACTTTCCTGATGATCATAACTATGCAAATAATCTGTAGTCCTGTTTAAAGTGGTTTTTAAATCAGTGTATTGAATTGATGAGTGGGAGGGGCTAATAGATGTGGTTTTTGTCTTAAGTGTGAAAGCTTTATCATGTCAACAGAAGTCTTTAACCACTGTGCATTTTTAATTTAGAAAAGACATAAAGCTGACAATGCGGTGAACAAGAAACAAACTCAAGGTAGGAAATTTTTTAAATTCTGTTAATTGTGGGTTGGGAGGGTTGTTTTTTGAATTTTTTGCAAATGGTAGTAATGTAATCTGAACTCCTGACAGGTGATTGAGTGGGACATTGCTTCTGCAGAGTACTTCAAAATTCGGAATCTAAAAAGTGGAAATAACAATTTGTAGTCAATTAGCCCCACAAAATGGAGTATGTTCTAGATTAAGTTTATGACATTCCTAAGAAACTTTAAAATTTACTCATTTAATACAGGTGATGCTGTAGCTGTTAAAAGATAATAATCAACACCATATTTATTTGGCCTAGATTATGATGAAAAGTCTGTGCATTTCTAAGTATACAAATAATAATTTTATTCAACCAGCAAATCTTGACTAATTTGGTTTTGGAAAACTCTAGAATAGGAAGGAAAAGTAGACGGAACTTTCTATGCTGCTTGAAAACTGTGGGAAAAGGTGAATGGAGCTTTTTTTGGGGGTTGGTGTGGTTTTTCATATGAAATCAATTTAATTATTTGATTAGAGATAATGAGATATTTAGCCAGTATACACAAACCAAAACTTTGGAATGTGATTATTATATTTTTTAAAAGATTTTAATAGAGAAAAGAAGTAGTATTAAATCAGAGAATTATTTTAGCTCAGAAACTGAGGGAGCTGTTAGCTAATATATCCTAAACACATTTGTCAGGTAGGAAGTGTAAGTTTAAGTTCATATTTTGCTGCTCTTGAACTTTTCATTTTACCTGTTCTGACGTAGGCTTCTCTATTAAGAGCTGATCCTGGTTTTATATACAGGAGGAGGAATGAGTCTCCTGTGAATTTGATTGCAGAAAGCAGGAAAAATACCACAAAGAGAAGAATCTTGCGTGGAATCTTATTTAAATATATAGCAAATATAAACTTAAGGTTTTTAGAGAGGAATGTAGTCATTGATTAAAGATAATCAGAATTCTTTAGCACTGGTAACCACTGGAAATGTCTCTAATTTAAAACCATAAATTTTAAAGCCTACCTAAATTGTACATAAATCCTAAAGTTTACTGTAAAATTTATGGAGGATAGGGGGGAAGATAACTTGTAAAACTACTAAGCATGTAACTCAATAGGAGGTATGGGGAGATTAGGACAGTGAGACAAATCTGTTGACTGAGAGCACTGGGAACAGAAATCTCCAGAGAACAGGCCTGGAGAAACAGATAACCTCTTATCTGTACATAAAAAACAAAGGCAAGCTTAATGTAGACATCCAAAATTCTTTCATCAAACATTCCTAGCTGTTGAGATTGCAATCAACAGTTTTAGGTGGCAGTGAATCTTGAAGTACCTTTTAAATATTTTTTTTTTGTCCTGAGTGTACAAAGTTTTAAATTAATAAAAGGCTTGTTTTACTGTCTTTCCTGCCTCTTCTCCTTGCTTACCTCTCATTAAGCTCTTTGGTGACTGTTCCTAAAATTCCTGAATGTTCCCTGCATGCCAAAGAGCACCTTGGAAGTTGAAAGTGTAATAAGGATACATAAAATCTAGCTAGCACTGATAAACAAGTTTCTTAAGCTAGTGCAGGATTCACATAAGTACGACATTGATCCTAGTGTACTGTCAAAGCAAAATTTAAATGTATTTTCAAATACAGTCTATTGTCAAAGTAATAATTAAAAAGTTAATCAATGTGTTACGCTTACTTTGTTTTCATGTGTTCAGCAGTTCTGTAACCCTGAAAGGTTGCTATGTGCATACTTTATTATGTATCCAGCTCCACCTTCAGTTGTCTTTTAAATATATGAAATTGTTAATGAAATGACATATGCATATCTAGATTCTGTAGATGGGTTTCCCTTCATCTGTCTGTTCCTTAAAGACCATCTGTGTCTCAGTTAACCTTAACTAATTAACTTCCTAAATTTCCATTACCATAAAAAACCTTTTACAGAGGATTTTGATTTATTAAGCTGCATTAGGGATTTTTTTTGTTACCTCAGGCTGCACACACAGACAGCAGGACATAGAAAGGCACTTTGACATGATGAAATACGCATTTCTGTAGGGCAGATGGAGCATGCCTTTGAGTTGGTTACTAGAGACAGCTGAAAAGTGGGAGATACAAATGTGAAGGCCAGGCTGCAGAAGACTTTATGGCACAAGTTCTCTAACTGTTTATATAAAAGGTGCATAGCATCACCAATGCTTTTTTTGTTCTCATAAGAAAATGACTTTAATTGCATGTCAGTGTATGTTGATTGTGCTTAAAAGCTTATTGGATTAAGTTAGGGTTAGAGTGCTCTTGAGATTTCAGGTGCCTCAGCATGTTTTCGTGAGTCTGACTCATTCATTTGTGAACTGATTTTAAACAGTTAAATAGCAGGAAACAAACCCAGAAAGAAAAGCGGACAGTTTTCTTCCATTTAGTAGGTTAAACTGGCTCATCAAAGGGTCCAACAAGCACCAGAGGCAGCACGCGTTAAGCGCTGAGGGCACACATGTCTGCATGGGGTGAGGGCAGAACAGGACCTTCCCTTTGCCAGGGCAGTGCGGTGTTCAGTCAGCTTGGCTGCATGTGAAACAGCCTTAGGATATTTCAGCAGCGCAAGTGCTTTTGCAGCCAACACTTCTTAAGAAACCCTTGGCCATCTCTGGCAGCTTATTTACGTTTCAGACCTGCAGGAAGTCCACTGTCTGTTATTTTACTATAGCTATTCATGAAACTTAGTCATCTGGATTGATGCAAGCTGTGTTTTTAATCCTCATCAGTTCTCTCATCTGTTTGATACCATGGCCTCACAAACAGTAGTGCTGACACAAGAGGATAGAAGTAGGTAGTTGGTGGCACCATTATCGAATGCCTTGGGTTCCTTAGGACAGTTTTACAATCCAGTCCTCTGGATCTGTAGTTTTCACAGTGAAGGGAAATGGTTTGTCAAAATAGATTTTATGTAATCATCAACTGATTGGTGAGACAGTCATTGAAATACCTTGCTTACTGTCCGAAAGGGAGACTGCTCCATTTACTGTTGCCCTGAGTGTATCAGTACTAATATATTTAGGATTAGGAAGGGTAAGAGAATTTATCTCTTCCTACAGAATTATCAAGCAGGTTAGCTAACAACTCACAGAAATTATAGAGATGTACAAGAGGGGTCAGTTTGGACAGAACCTCAAGGAAGGCTTAGATGTAAGGGCCATATGTGTTGCCACATTTTGATCCACTTTTTTGACATAAGAGTTGGATCCTTATCAGGTACTTAGATAAGCATCCTGACAGCGTGAAAGCTGGGAGACACATTGAAAGAGAACAATCTCTTGGAGTTATCTCAGTATTGATACATGGCAATATATTTTCATTTCATTTTTTTTGCACATCAATCTTCAGTAGCTTTGTAACTGGTGTAATGAAAACAAAGTCACCTTTATTATTCTCTGAAAACACAATCTTGTCAATTAACTGGCAAACAAGGCATGGCTTGTGAATCATAGTAGCAATACTTGAAACTGGAGTAGTGGAGCATGCTTGCAATGTTAATTGCTACTGCCAGGGAAAATCTATACTAAATCTTACACTAAATGGCATGGATTGAGTTTGGGGATTTCCACTGTATTTATGGAGGAGATGACTGCAGTGATCCTGAAGTTTTCTGACATGCCAATAACAGTAAGAACAGCTGAATCCTAAGAAGCCTGCTGGTGACTTTTTGTGAATCTTTTTTGTATGAACCTCATCAATATTTGAACTGAGACAAAAATCTTGAATTAATTTCCTCCCCTCCCAATAATTTCATAACTTTTTGACTTTGGAACTTTTTATCCCAATTACTAATTTATTTTAGAAAACACCACATTATCATACAATCTATATCAGATTTAATGAATTCTCAAACCATGTAAAATGTTGTCAATGACTTTGTAAAAAGATTCAATAGTACAAAAACTGTTATACAGAATATGTGCTATATGATTGAAAAGCTTGACCTGAATTTGTGGAAACAAGGCATGCTGTAAAATAATTGTGTAAATGAGCTGTGTCTCTGTGGCTTTTCATAAGGAATCTAGCGCATACCTATATGCTGCAGTTGGATTGTACAACTGGAAAATTCTCTTTCTTCCTTTTTTCTTTTTTTCAGTACTACGAAATGGTGCATGGGAGATTGTCCACTGGGAAAAGGTGTGTGTTTATTTTGGTGACTTTTAGAGCATAATGCAGATTTAATATTTGCTTCATTTCTCCAAATAATTGTCATTGATAAGAATTAACCGATATGAGGGGAAATGTATAATCTTTATTTTGTTTTTTGTTTGTTATCATAAATGTTAATACTTGTCTATTAAAATGTACTTTTAAGTCAAGTCAATTTTGATGGCATGAGTCAGGCAAAACTGCTGTTAAATGGTGGGCTTTAAGTTCAATGAAAAATAACTTGAATGATATGATTGTCTTGGGAGTATTCGCATATTTTGAAATCATACAGTTCCATAGTGTTATTTGGTGTACCAAGGCAGAAACTTCTTTCTGGAAACTAGTTACTGTGTGTATTTGCTGAACTACTTTGGCTTAAACTATGAAACTTTAAAGACTTACACAGTAGTTAGGAAGGACTGTTAAAGGTAACTTTCAGGGACTAAATGTTATGCTGTCTATCCAGTCCCTTAGTTTTATTGCTTTCCATACCTGAAATCTTGAACAAAATTTGACCCACAGTAATTTGGAGGCAAGGTCCAGATGAAATCGGTTTATACCTTTGAAGAAGCAAGGGTAAGGTATATAACGTAATACAACAGAACTGTGATCTTAGGGGAGATTAATGTCTTCTTTAGCTCAAGTTCAGTCTTCCAATAAAATATTTTACAATAACTGGCAGAAGTAAAGAACTGCATAAAGAAGATCAGGATTAGGCCTAGTAAAGAATAGATTTCAAAGAATTTCCATGATCTTTGAGTACCTAATACCTATAAGCTTCTCTAAGTGTGTGAGTTTCTAACAATCTTTCTAGCAAATTCAGCAGGTAAATATTTACTGTGCTTAAAACAAAGGGATAACATATTTTGTTTGAGACCATTAACCAATTCCCAGTTTTCTTTCAGGTAGATGTTGGAGATATAGTTATAATTAAAGGCAAAGAGTATATACCTGCTGACACTGTACTGCTCTCATCAAGGTAGAGATGCCCACTGATGCTTATAGTGTAGAGGCTGGTTTCTCTACCCTGCATTTATTTATCTATTTATTTGTGATTGCTCCAAGGAAATAAGGAATAAACACAAACGCTGCTGTTCTGAAGTATAGTCTCTTGTTCATTTGGGCATGAATCATTTCAGGGAGTGTTTCTTTAAACTCTGACAATTACAGTTTTAAAATTACACTGGCATTCTATTTACGTCTAAGAATAGCTTAATATGTTATTTTATTGTTCAATATAATACAAGAGAGACAGATTCTCTGTCTAAAAATTGGATCTCAACTGCCATATTTAACCAGGCTGGCTTTTTGATACATACCTAACAAATTGCATCCTATAAATAAGTTCAAATGGATATATTACAGAGAACAGAAAAGCTTTTTAACAGATATAGTCACAAGTTTGATAGTTGAATCAAGAAAAAAAGTGAACATGAGATGTGAACCATCAAATTAGCACTGTCTTTATGAGCTGAACATTCACTCTATTTTCTAATATATATATTTTATGAATAATTTTAGCACTGAAAGCAAGACTTAATTTATAGCATGTAATGCTGTGACTCTTTTTAACATGGACAATCAGAGGTTGTTTATCGTCATTTCCTTGGACAATTTTATTAAAGAAATCCACATCTTATGTGGAAGATGCACATTTTTCAACATCTATTTGATCAGGTCAATAGACAACATATTCTAAGAATTATTTTAAATGAAGATTACTTAAATATGATCAATTGTATTTTGATTTATTACTGCATGCTTACAATGCAATTTCCTTTTTTTTTTCCTGGCACAAGCAGAAGCATTTTTGTAGTGTGTATGATTATGGATTAGGTATAAACCCTCTGTGACCCCACTGAAGTTAATGAATCCTCTCATAATGTACAATTAATAAGGTTAGGATCTTATGTGTTTCTATGACAGGCTGTGGTGTAGACTAGTTCATTGTTTATTCCATCTTCCATTACATCTCAAAAGTAAGGGTAGCTGTTTCTAAAACACTTCTGTTAAATTATTATCGACTGTTTAATAGTTGCCGGATAATACTGTAAATTTTCCCCACAGTCTGTCTTCAGTATTTATGTTTGTCATGACTTCAGATGTTTTTATATTGAATATCCTCTATAAACCTTTTACTTCTACACTTTGAGGAGCATTTATAATTTTATTTGTGCTTTTTCACCAAGATCTTCATAGGCAATACACCATATAGCAAGAACACATGGTCTGTTGGCCCGATAATAGCTTCTGTCATGCTAACCCTAGTGTTTCACAAGCGAAACAGATTACATCCTCTCAGAGCAGCTTCTTTATAATCTTCCTGGGTAAACTCCTAAATTTGAGTCTTTACCTGGATGTCTTCACTGTTTTGCCCTTTTGGATTTGGAGGACACATGTGTCGCAGCATTCTCCAGTTGTTTACACACAGAAAAACACCAACTGCGTACAAAGCTTTCTCTGTCAGCCTTGTCCCCCCTGAAGGAAGCCTACATCACGTGTTGATAAATTGAAATAATAGTCAGCTGCTACTGAACTTGTCAGGACTGTTACCTCTTTGTTTAACCTCACTTTACTGCCTTTGTCAGAACACGCTATCCTAACTGTGACCATGACTCACCTTGAATTTTCCTGTGAGGTTTTCTTGTAGGATCCAGTTTGCAAAGGGGACTCCTTGAATCGTGATTGCTTTGCTGGGCCCAGTTCAGGCATTTCTTCCAGCAAAAACTTCCTTCTTAGTTATAGTACTAAAGTCCTGTTGCAGACATCCTTCCAGGAGAGAACCCTGTGCTACTACCTTAGTTCTGCCTGCATACTGACATGTGCTCTCCTCCACCTCTCTTCTCCATGTGGCCATGCGTTCTCCAGGAAGACAGTCTCATCAATTTTGCTTTCCAGGTGTTTACTGATGCCCAATTACGTTTTAGGTTTCAATAACAATGCAAACCTGTGGGTCCGGTTTTACTTCAAACTAATATTTGGTTCTTTTTACCAGGAATAGCAGCTTCTGGAGAATAAGAGGATCTTAATAATTTTAGGAAACCATAATCTTTTACAGTAGAAGGACACAAACATCTGAGATTTAGTTCTGTTTTGTTTTTTCAGTGTAAATTGAAATTTACAAAGCCGAAATAAAACAAAATCGTTTTCAGCATGTCTACAAGGAAAGATTATTGTCACTTGACTTTTCTGAAAAGTTGGTGGAAAATCTTTTGTTGTGGCTTTTATTTTTTTAATTAATGTATGGAGAGGCTAGAAACTTTGTCAGTTGAGAATAAGCATAACAGCTTTTTATTTTTACTGTACAAGATCAGTATGTTCTGCAGCTTAAAATTGATGCCTTACAGTAAAACAACCCACTTGAGTAAAAATGAAAATACTCCAGCTGTTTTCTTCCCGACCTGATTAAAATAGATTTTGAAAAAATTGTCATCAGACATTTTAATTAACATATATTGTTTGTATAATAATTTCAAACTCTTGTCTTTTTGTCTTTGTCCATTTGTTTGGTTTTTTTTCCTCCCGTCACTTATTTTTCTGTTCTAATCATTTTCAAACTGGGATGTGTAGGTGGCAGTAGGGGAAGTAGTGAAAGTGACCAATGGGGAACATCTCCCAGCTGATCTCATCAGTCTGTCGTCAAGGTTAGAATAAACTAGTTGCACAGGATACGTGTACGTGGGTCCTCATACACCAAATACGAAGAACACTGCTATGTTGATAGTCTTCGCTTTGCTGTTCACCTTTCTTTGATGAAACCTAGACATTTATAAAATTAGAAAGGATTTGGTTGATAAAAATACAGATCTTTAAAGTGTAAATACATGATAGCACTCCCAAGAAATGAAAATTTGTTTCAATCCTCTTCAGTTTTACACTATTCCCGTGAAATTTTATCAGCCAAGTTGTCATTGAATGAACACACAGTAAAACATCAGGATAAATATATATTTAATTCCTTAGAGCAAATTAAGAAGAATATACATGTTTATACCAACCCACTATTTTCAGCAAAGAATATAGTTTAATGTTGGTAGGAATGGTAGAGGACCCTCTGCACAAACTTGGATATTGCACAGTCTGTGGTGCATGCGGTGGCAAAAGCAGCTCTGTTCTTGTGTTTTGTGACAAAATGCATGTTTCTTAGACATGTCAGCTTTATGCTATTGTCTGCACTGTTACCGCACTTTGTTTTTCCTAACAAATCAATGGGCCTGCCTTGATCTAACTTACTTACTTTGGAGGTCACTGCTATCTGCTACAGTAATTATAATTAAGCATGTGTCTCACTTGAAATGTCTTTGCTGCCTTAGTCTGTTTTAAAAGTGCTTCACAAATATATTGTTTGGTTTTTATTATTAACTAATAAAAATGCTGGAATTTTAATAAAGTTTTATACAGGTGATTCCGTTCAAATGATCTAAATAGAAATTATTTACATTTTTAGAAAAGTTTGCCAAGAAGAAAATGCTAGCCTGAAAGGAATTTATGATAATGCTTTATCACGTTTTAATGCTTTTGCTTTACAAAGATGTTTTAGAATAACCTGCTTAACTTCATCCTGCAGATATTCTGAAATTGAGTCGCTTGTCAATAGCCATTGTTGCATTAAGAAAGAAAATTTTAAAAAACAACTTGATGCTTGAATTTCATACCAGAAAGAAGGAAAATATTAGAAGCTTTAAAGTGATGTAGAGAGTAAACTTTTATTCTTCTAAGTAGTAAGAGGTTTTTATGACTCATTTGATCCTTTACAAGATCAAAACTGGTTTCTATCATAGATAGAATTAGTAGGTGTTCTGTCCTTTTGTCCGGAGAATGGGAGCTGACTGGAGCAATTCGGAAATCCTCACCTGTTATACCTGTTCTTGTTTACTGTCTACTTGCAAAAAAAGTCATTTTGTCCTTCTATATCTTTGTTTTCCTAGTTAACAGTTCTATAATGGTTGTAATATGACTGAAAGTCTAAAAGTATTTTACAAAATATAAAATTGCTGCTGTGTTACACATCAAAAAATTGTATTGAAAAAATTAATTTCAAGGATAAGCCATTAATCAGTATGTGTCAAATAGATGAACTACTCAAGTAGGAATGTTCTGCATAAACTTTTCATTTGTAAAAAAGCTTTTTAACTTGCATAAAGAGGACATGTATTTCAAAAAACTGTATTATGTTATCCATAATTTAGACTTGTTTTTAGAAGAGAATCTTTTACAAGAAAACTTTCATCTCTAAGATACTGCTGCCTACAGTAGTGGGCACCACAAATGCTCTACGTTTGTGCCTGTATCTTAATCTCATGTAAAAAGAATAAAAACTTTTGCTGTGTACAGCATTTTTAGCAGTGTTTCATTTAAGAAAGGTTTTGGCGAACTTTTCTCAAAATGTAAAGTGCTGTTGGTTTTTTACAGATTTGACTGTATATTATTCTAGTTCTGAAGATTTTATAAGAAAAAGAAAAACCTGATTGCATAAATAGGTATTAAAAGATTACAGAAAGTTCATGGATTTTGACGTTGTAATTTAAAATTAAGGATTTTTTTTTCTTAATAGTGAACCGCAAGCTATGTGCTACATTGAAACATCTAACTTAGATGGTGAGACAAACTTAAAAATTCGACAGGTAAGAATTTCATTTTTGACAATATTGCTAATATTATTTCATCTATTATTGCTTATAAAAGCATATTTTATTACATTAATGGCCATTTTAGAAGACTTTGAAATTTTAGTGGTTTGAATAAAAAGCTACAGGTTATTGGCATCATAAAAGTTTTATTCAATTAATGAAGCGGAAGGAATGAATGATTACTCCTAAGCTATGCCTTGTGCTTTGATTCAGGGTTTTTCTTTGCGAAAATAGGTAGAAATGTTAGTAGTTTGGGTATTGAGTTTTGTTTTTAGAGAATAGATGAGGGAAAAGCCCTGAAGAAAGAAGCTGATAGTGCCAGTATTGTCCTTGAGGGCAGGAAGGGAATAGAAGTTTCTGACTGAGCACACTGTCTCTGTGCAGGGGCCAAGCTATATCATTTGTTACAACCCTGTCTTCATCATGATGTTTTAAGATACCAAGGTGATTTTTTCACTGTCAATAGCATCCAGCAGTGTGACTGCAAAGTGTTGCAGTCTCATTTTGCTCCCATAGGGATACTGGTTTTCTGGTGTAGCACAACCAGATTTATAATTCATAGATTTGTATATTGGAAAGTGATTTTTTAATGTCACGATAAATGAATTTTGTTTACAGGGTTTGCCGCTAACATCAGACATAAAGGACATAGACAGCTTGATGAGACTTTCAGGCAGAATTGAATGTGAGAGCCCAAACAGACATCTCTATGACTTTGTTGGAAACATCAGACTGGATGGGCATGGGTATGTAAATCCAAGGAACATGATCTCCGGAGATTGATAGCTATATGTTGTTAAACTACTCAAGTTAAAATATGAGTAGTAAAGTAGTAAAGTTCTATAAAGACTAGAGAGATACACATCTTTTCTGATGTATTCTTTATTAGACTTCATTATTTTAAAAAACTAGAGGGGTAAAACCACACTTCTAATGTCTACAACTTGAGTTTTTGTACTAGTTGACCTTCATAAAGCAATAGCTATTAATAATAGAAGGGAGTGCTAATCAAATTCTAATGGTCTGGAGTACGTACCTAGTAGCTCACTTAAGCATCTCATTCCTTGCCTGTTAAGTTTCTATTCTAGAAGGTGAATAGAAGTAGTTTCTTGTCTATTTTTTTATTGTTGTTTTTTTCTATTTGTCTAAGTCTGGAGTGGAAATGAGTCCGTCGCAATATAAATCCAATTCTTCTGATTTGATACCTAAAGGACATTTAATACCTTAGCTTACTGGAAGTGTGTTTCTGTAAAAATAGACTGCCTCAGTGCAATTACAACATGCTTGTAAAACTACTTAAAAAATTCTTAAATTAAGTGCTTACCAAATACTGATATTTGGAGTCTTCTATGGGTTCAAACCAAATGTGATGCATTAGGAGTATAAAATTCATTACTACATCCAGAATTGTTGAGTCCTTCATTCCCAAAGATTTATAGGATTTCTTTTTTATTTGGTAGGCATTTATTTCTCCATATGCAATATTATTCATATTTATGGATTTAGAGTGATATATATAGTACTAACTAATTATTAAATACCTTTTTTTTTATATTCCATTTTTTATTTACTGATTTTTTACAGATGCATTCCGGGAGTTTTCAGTCGCAAGAGTGTGGATCTATTATAATTCCACTGTACTTGTCGTTAAGAAGAGAAAAACATTTACCTGTAATTCTTCTCTGAAGGTAATAGTTATAATAGATCCACACATTCATCCTTCCTCCCTGGCTAGAAGGACAAACATATTTTTCTTTTCAATCTAATTGTTTAATTTAAAAATTTAATTTAAAAAAGAAGCATTGAATGTGCTGATGGCTGTTATGCCTGAAGAATGTGTTGGAGCATGCCATCTGCTGGTCAAGCAATTTGTCATTTGAGAAATTCAGTTCTGGAATATTTTGAATATAGTTCCTGTGCAGTAGGATAGTTCCAAAAGTGTGGCTCTAATATAATATTTACCTTCAGTGAAAAAGAATTGCAGGTAAGTAACTTTTTGGATCCTGATGTTATTTCCATCCTGAAAAATCAGGGATGAGTTCTCTTGCTGCCCATATTAGAGATAGCACAGGTTCATCTAACTGGTATTTATTTATCCAGATCTTTAAGACCGTCCTACCAGATTATGTAGATCCAGCTGCTGTGATTTCCACTTTATCCACTACCATCTTAACATTTTTGCAAAAGCAATAGACGATACAGGAAATGTATCTCCCTCTTCTTTCTTTTTTTTTCCCTTTAGCTAACTCATTGGAGTGCCATAAATGTTGTATCTGGTTGACCTTTTCAGCCTTGTCTTTTTCCATTCATGGGAGAGCAATGCAAAAAACAAAGATTCTCTTTTTTCTTTTGCATTCTCAGTATTGCAGGAGGTAGAACTCCACTACAGTTATTTTGCCTTTTGGCTAGATCTGTGGGCTAAAAGAGGTCTAAAAAGTTTTTTAGATATCCCCAGCTTCTGTGTGAGTTAAAACTTATATCCATCGTGTGCAGATCTTCATTATGCTCGTGAATATACAGAAGCATATCACTTGGTTTTAGTCAATGAAGACGATTAACTACGGAAAGGAGAAAAGTTCTTTAGCCTGGATAAATTTGAAATTATGATTAGACAATGGATCAGAGAACAAGGGTGAGCAAATTAAAAACAAGGGCAGATATTGGTTATTCAGACCTACAGTAAATGTTTTCCTGAAGACATTCTTAAGAAAATTTTGAATAAGAGTGAATTATGCTTGTTAAGAAAAACATTTTGATATGTAAGCTTTCAAATGTGTCTTAGAAATTACTAGCTCTTAACATACCCTTGACAGCCCTGGCAGAAAAGTATGCTGAAAAGATATTTCCCCATTGAGAACATCACTTACTGAATACCAGCCAAATATGTTGATGAGAAGTCATTAGTTATGTTGCGTACAGGAAGAGTCAGATAAGTTGGAGCAGTTTTGAGAAGGCTGAGGCTGGGAAATAGAGACTTGCGAGCTCTGTCGAGTCATCGCACCATCATCTCATTAGAGAGCGGGGTAAGATAACAATGTTCAGGATCAGTAGCATGACACCTGGCAGATCTGGGCTTTCTATGCCCCTGGTTGTTTTGCTGTCTGTTTTCATCTGCTTGGTCTGTGCACAAGTTCTACTGGAGACAACTCCCACTGGCCGCAATCGCAATTCTCTTCTGATTGTTTTCCCAAATAACAGACAGATAAGTTCCTGTCCCAGGATAGAGAAGGGTGTCCATGTGAGAGCCATTGTCCTGATGGAAAAAGAATCAATGTATCCTGCAACAGAAGAGACTTCACTGCATATTCTTCACAGTTTTTAAGAAGGGAAAACAAAGAGGAAGATCAGGAAGTGGCAGGAAGAGTCCTAGAACTCACATAACTCTTCAAGGAGTACAAGAATTAAGTAGAAGGTTTTGACTTCTGCCTTCCTAGCATCTCTTTTATTACTAGAAGGGACAGAAAGTCATCTGGCATTCCAGAGAAGGTCCATAGTTGAAAAGTTTTCCAATTTATCTTGGGGAAACTTGCATATAACCAGAGAAAGTTATTTTTCTTTCATCTTCTGTGACATTCATGTTAGTGTTAATAACTAAAAATATCTCATTATTCTTGGAATGACATGGATGGTCCAAAAGTCTTAGAATTATTCTGATCAAGGAATGCAAATAAATAAAAGTGCAGAAGCAATCTTTGATGCCAGCAGGAGTCTCTCTTAGTGATTCTTGTGTAATTCAAACCCCAGAAGTTCCTTTCATACTTGAAAGGACATTTATTCTCTTAACTTTGCCATGATATGAATACATCTCAAATAGAACACCAGCACAGTTCAGATTAAGAAAGTGAGTAAATCTCAGTATGTTTTATATTTCAGTTTTCTTTTCCAATTCCTATTTTTGATGAAGTGCTTGCACCTGGAAATTATTTTCCATGGCAATATCATTCAGCAGTTCGGTTCCTGAAACATACTTAGTCATTGGAGAGAATGATTCTTTAAACAGTCAGTGTGCTCCATGCTAGTCTCCTAGAAAGTAAGTGGACTAAGTTGTAGTGGGGTGGGGTTTGTTAGTAGTTTGATTTTTATGGATAAGCACTCATGTATTTTTCTAGAATAATTTTTTTTCTAGTTTTTGCAAGGACTGATGTTAAAAACCTTTATTGCCACTGTTAATTTTAGAGGAGGAAGAATGTGTCATTTCCTCTTCACTTGCAGTCTTTGAATCTTAAAAGCTTGTGTATAAGAGGAGGGAAGGGAACATGATGATCCAGAAGAAATTATTACCTGAAACTCACTTTCTGAGACTGACTTTATACTCTTTGTGCTACCAAAAATGTTACCAAATGTCATGGCTTACTCAGACTCTTTATAGCTTATATATTAGAGATATAGTTGCTGTCATCAAGCAGTTTATTTGTGACCTTAATAATGTGTTGGTTTCAAACAAGTGTAGAGATAATAGTTTTAGCTAAGAATGCCAAAAACTAGAACACTATTGAACAGTTTGAACTGCTACCTGGTATTTATCAAAAGAAAAGTGCCAAAATAGGGTGTTGTTTGTCTCAGGAAAAGAGTAATAATTACATAAAATTTTTATATGTTAAGAAAAAAAATGAGCTACAGTATATATATATATATATATGCATGAAGTCAACTGTCTGAATTTAAGACAGTTAAATTTTTCCAACATCTTTTGAAGTTTCGTTGCTCATTTTACTCAATGCAGTTCTAAAAGAATAACACAAGTAAATTTACCTGGTTTTGCAATTTAAAGAAGGTGCAGGAAATACCATTGTGAATTTTAAATAGTTGATTATGTTGATAAAGGATATTTATTTCACTGGAAGAATAGGCTAAGTTGAGAGTTAAGAAAATTATTTCATTTGAAAATTGCTTCAGAAAATCAATTTTGTAAGAGTAGTTGAGTTTCCACATACACTTAAGAAAAAGCTTCATAATTGTGAATCACAGGAAAATTTGCCTTTGTTAGTTTCAGTATGCTTGCTAAGTAGTACTATATCTTTAGTGTCCATAGTCAAAATTAAGTGGTAAGTAATATTTTTGCAAACTTGAATTTTTGGACTTGCTTTTAGCTATCAAGTGTTCTCTCTGTCAACACTCCCGAAAAGTTAACTATGAAATTAGGTTCCTAGCATATTTACAATAATCATGTAAATTTTGAGAAATTGGTTTTAACAACTGCTGGTTACGTTTATTCATTGGCATTGACTGTTCTAATGCTAAAATATGAAACTCCTTCCTTCTAGTACTGTTCCATTGGGATCTGATCAGATTCTTCTACGAGGAGCTCAGCTGAGAAATACTCAGTGGGTTCATGGGATAGTTGTCTATACGGGGCATGACACAAAACTTATGCAGGTTTGTTACTTGGATTTTCTCTAAATTATCTGTTTTGTTACCTTATTATGCCATTACACAGCACAGAAAATTGTTTCAGAAAACACAGCTAGATTCAATATAGTAGTTGAAATGTCAGTAATAAAGCATCTTTCTTATGAAGTAAAACCAATAAAAATAAAGCAATACCTTTTTCTTATTAGTCACTTAGCCACAGAATAGTTTTTCCACTAGTAAGTGTATACATTGATTCTGTTTTGTAACTTGTATTTTGAAAACTATTTTATTAGCAAGTTGTTTCATTATAGTTTGCGTGTTCATCTTTTTTTATTTTTGACTGCTCCTAAAACTGTCCTCTTGTGGAGCTTTCTTTCAAGTATAAAGGTAAGCATTCTTGTCAGAAAACAAAGTGAAATTTTATTTGCAAAATGAGGAGGGAAGAGAACCATCCTCAGACTATGAAATTACTTTTCCTAGTGCTGTTTGAAATATCAAAATTGAAATGCATTTTACTCAAAAAAAGAATGCTTTCAGATTGGTCATGCATGTCTTTATTTATTGCTTTTCTGATTTGTAATACAGGTTTTTGAAAAAGTTTGATTGTGTTAGCAATTGTCTTCTATAGCACTGGTGAGATGTTCATTTTTAAAGTTTCCTGTTAGCTGTTGCGGTTGCGAGTGTTCTGTGTGATTGTTTAAACTGCTTGTGACACGAATCTAAAGCTCTAACTCATGGATTTGTAAGCTGCTGCTTTTTTTTTTTTCTTTTGAGTGAAATGATTATGTCATTTATGATATATTTAGGAGAATATTTAGAAAAGGATGCAGTAACATGTAATTTGAAAAGCAAGAACTGTGTTTACCTCTTCTAATGTTTAATAGCCACTGTTGGGTTTTGTCTTTTGCAGAATTCAACAAGTCCACCTCTTAAAATGTCTAATGTGGAACGCATTACGAATATTCAGATATTGATTCTGTTCTGCATCCTTATTGCCATGTCTTTGGTCTGCTCTATTGGTTCAGCTGTATGGAATCGAAGGCATACTGGAAGAGACTGGTATCTTGATCTAAATTGTAAGATGTAAAATAGTATATTAATATTTTAGTGTTCAATTGTCTTGTGTTTGGAAAGGAGGAGGATTACCATCCTTTACGCAGTGTGTTTTTTATCAGTCTATCTTTATTGGTTATTGACTAAAGTCATTAGACTAGGTGTATCACAGCAAGTACAAAATTCACCTTCCTGTGCCATCTGAACTCTTGCTAAATTCAGGAAGGGGAACTTTGTTGTCTGCCTTTACATCTTTCAGCCTCTACATGTCTGCAGCTTAGCAAGGTCTGTGTCAGCATTCCACTGGCGTAAACAATCAGCTTCCTAAACTACTTATTTGCTGCCAACATCAGATCTTAGCAGACTGCTCCTAAAGAAGATAAAACAGGCACAAAAGATCTCATCCAACATATTATACTGGACAGCTGTCCTCATGGTGGATGCAAGGCAATGTGGTGTTACGTGGGCCTTCACGACAGCATGCAACATATTGACATAATCTGACCCTCAGTGAGGGTACTAGATTTAAAGGAAGTTTTTATAAATATACTTTGTGGTCAATTATTCATTTTTTGAGAATTTCTTATGTTGGCCCTAGAGCCTTCTTGACTTAGGCAGTGAAACCAGAACTAGGCTTTCTGCTCCTGAAACAACAGTGTCTTGAATACAAAGCTGCTAAATGTAGTTATCAAAGTAGGGATTATGGGGTGATTTTGTCAGTTTTGAAAGAAAAAACTTAGAATTCTAATTTGAAGACACTCTCATAAAGTTTCTGTTGAACAAAACAGTTACCTGCATTTATGGTGAACTTTTGTTTATTAAGAACCTTGCTTCTTTTTGAGGCTGAGGAAGAAATATTTTTTTCCCTTAAAAAAAGGAAGAAATTTGAATTTTATATTTCCATCTTGAGGTGGAAAAAAGTGAAATCATTCATGGACTATTGACAATTTCCATAAAAGGATGGCATTAGATGTGCTTCATCATTTGTTATTTTTCATCTGATTCTTCTTTTCAGTGCATTTTTTTCTCTTTTCTGGGAAATGTAGTTTTCAGAATATGGTGGTTAGCACAGTAGTGAAGCACTTCAGAAGCTTTAGGTTTTATTCCTGAAAAACAAAACATGAAATAGTGGCCATGATATTTTGTGTGTTCTTTAAGAGGTTATCCTTGTTAGCTTATTTTCTGATATATGCCCTATGATGGAATGAAATTGTTTTTGAGTTTTGTAAGATATACCCTTTCAGGCTGCATTCAGCTCATGCTTATTCTTGTACCAGGTATTTTTAATATGTAAGAAGTAATTTATTCCTGTTTCCCTTTAGCTACTTAATTTTTTATGTGATAGTGAAATAGGTTCCTAGCAGTGCCCCATCTTTCTGAATGCTCTTAGTATTTACTTAGAACAAGCTGTTGCCTGTGGATGATAAAAAAAGTGATAATGTTAACAATAAATATCTGAATATTAGTATATTTAAAGTTAGCAATAGGTATCAAACTTCATTTAATCTCAGTAGCCATTATTGAGACTCAATGTCATGGCGAATGTTAGCTGTCTGGTCTCTTAGATTTGTACTTTATGTGATGCTGGAAGTGCTATTAGTGAAAGTAGCCAAAACCTGTTCTCTTGGATCTTAGACTAACAACCAGATCCACATTCCATAGGGAGTGGAAACCTGTTTTTCTTTCAGAGATCTTTGGATATAGATAGGCAAGCTACATCTTTCACCCTTTCACTGTGCTGGAGAGCAGACTGCTATTTCCCATTTGCATCCTCTCTGAGGTGCTACTACTAGTTATCTAAAACTTTAGAAGGAAAAAAATAGCGTAAAGCTGCTTGTTATATATGTTAATATTCACAATTCCAGTTCTTTTAAGACTTTCATTAAACTCTCTAATTTCTTCTCTTCTTTTCATGTGGTATGGATTTACTTTTTTCATAGTATTTGCTGGGTTGTGGGGAGAATAGGAAGGTATGAGGGTGGATAGAGAAAAACTCCACATTTCCCCCTTTAAAAATATAAAACTAAATTTCAGAGTTTAGAATTTGGTTGCTATATATAGATACGCCCAGATTATGATCTTAAAATGTAGCAAAAGAGGGAACGGCTGGTAAGTTTGCTTTTCAGAAATTGGAGAAGATGGCAAAGATCTCCAAATGTGAACTCCACTTCATAATAGAGAACCTCAGCTCTTATGAAGGTCATGTTTATAGGCAAGTGATATTGTAATTAATTCTCAAGTTTCTTCTTAGACACAGAACATTTTAAAAATCAGCAGTTAATGCAATACTCTGAGTACATTGTATGTACATACTTTTAAGTATGATCTTAATTTTTTTTTTTATTTGCTGTGTTTTTTGGCAGATGGTGGAGCAAGCAACTTTGGATTGAATTTCTTGACTTTTATCATTCTCTTCAATAATCTTATTCCAATCAGTTTGTTGGTTACGCTTGAAGTTGTTAAATTTATCCAGGCATATTTCATAAATTGGGTAAATAATATTTTTACAATATACATTGTCTTCTAAAATCAAGTGGTTTACAATTAAGTGAAATGATTGCTTGTCTATGTATACATCTTTTTCAGACTTTTTTTAAATAAACAGCGTACTTAAGTATTTATCTTATCATTACTGGAATCTGAGTAGGCAATAATAAATTGTTTTATTTAGTGCTTTTATACCTGCACCCAATTGCTTTTTGAAACATGTTTTTATGTGCTTTTTACTTTCTCAATATAAATATTCAGGTGTAAGTTTCATGCAGAATGACCAGAAGAAAGCGTTTTGCAGTCCAGTGGAGTTTTGTCTAGTTTCATTTCTTAAGGTTTTTTTTTTTTGTATTTTGCTGATTTTCGCACTACCACCGTAGTTTAAGGAGGGGTTTTTTTTGTACAAAGCCATTGTCTGTTAGTAGTATCTCTTACAAAATGTGTAAAGATCATTTTGGCATCCTTTAGAGGTTTTTTTTAATGAATTAATGGGAAAAAGAAGAGTTTTCTCTGTTTGGGGTGGGGGTGAGATGTTCTCCTTAAAGCCATGTAAGTGCTTTTAATAGTATGCCTTCCATTTTTCTTTTTTCCAAATGTAAATTAATCATAGCATTCTGAACTCTTTAATCAAATTCCTTGATCAAATCTGTGAAATAATTTGTATATGTGAGACACGATGTCGTGCAGGTATAGGTAAAAGTTTATGTTGAGTAGCAGATGAAATGTATGCTTTATTTTAAAGGTTAACCAGTCAGCTAGTTTTGATTTCTTCACTTCTTTTGTGGTATAGAGCAAATTGTGGGCAAATAAGAGAATGCAATGAAATTTCTTCCTTTATGTTCTGTATTCTAAAATAAATATTTAACAAAGGCTCACTCATTTTGAATGTGTAGACTGGCAACTGTTTATACAATTAGTCTGAAAGATGATTTTAACTTCTGTTCCTCCCCTTGCCATTTTGCATCATGAAAGATTAGTCGTCTTAAATTTATCTTAATCTGGGTCTTTGGACATTTATTATCTTAAACATTATCTTTGTGTGTGTGCATATCATATTGATATAGAGAAGCTGGTCATCTGCAATATGTTGCACTACTTTGCCATACTTCACGATGTTTTAATCTTTTACTGTATTTAAAAATGAACACTGAAATATTTTTTTTGGTTGGTTGTTTTTTTTGAACAAGAGAAAAAAAACACCATTTATAATTTATCGTGTGCTTTTAAATTTATCTTCATGTTTTCATTGCATACAATATAAATAGATAAGATTGACTTCTCTCTTAAGTGTTACAATGTAGTATTTCTGCTTGTTGGTAAATCTATTTTATATGCATGGGCACAACAGTTTTTCAATAATACAGGTCACTGGAAATAATCAGAGTAAAATCGCAAAGAAACATACAGATTTTTGGGTTTAGGAGGAACTTAATTTCTTCTGGGGACTCTTGGAAGTGATCTGATTGTGTCTGTGGCTTCTCTTGTTGAAATAATCATAAGGAGATAACTTGTATTCATGTTTGGTCTGCTCTTCTACGCTTACCTTTTCTGTTTATGTACTATATATTTTGCAATAAGTTTTGGAAGACTAATTTTTAAAAATATATATGCCTTTTTTTTTATCTGAAGGACATAGATATGCACTATGAACCTACAGCCACTGCTGCGATGGCTCGTACTTCCAATCTCAATGAAGAACTTGGACAGGTAGAAAAAAATCACTGGTTCTAACTGTGTATTGAAATTATTCATGTGGTTTTACTATCCAAATTATTAAAATAATGTGACAATTTGTTTCACAAAACTTGTACTCTTGCCTTAATCTTTGCTTATTTCTATTCTTTTCATTTTGTCAGTTATTTTTAAAAACACTGCAATATGTGGGTGTTAAGTTTTTGAAACCAGTATTAGATGAACAAACACTGCTTTATGTATCAATGTGTATGTGGTAATCACAGAAGGTTGAAGTGTATCATTAAAGTCACAAAATCAGATGAATTCTGATCATTAAGGCTGTCTGGCACAAAAATTTAGTCTCTGTATATACACTGTGATATGTAATTTTTTTTTCATGCACTCTGCCTTGCTCAGAAGAGGCAGTGGGTATGCTCTAGGATTGAATCATGGTTCTATTCATTCCCCTTTTTTTGCCACTGAAGGCTGGAAGTGGTGAATTCAACAGGGGCTCACAGCTGAGTTAAACTCTGGAAATTTGGGCTTAATTCTTCATTTTGCTTTGGGGTTCTCTTTTAATACCGTAAAATCAGTGAGGCTTGTCACAAGAGATCACTTGTTATATGCTCTTCATTTTATGGAAGTATGACTTTTTAGAAGTGTGTCTGGGGCACAGGGCATGCTTCCAGAAGCACTACGCATTATATTTGCTGTTTCAATGAACTGTATTTGTAGTCTTGCTTTAAAAACGTGCTAAACATTATGCTTTATGTTATAATGATTGGTGATGGTAAACTGATTCTCTGGAAAAAAAAAAGTATGTGCTCATTTAATTGAACTATATTATATGCACAAGTATACATATTCTTGCATTTCCTAGCCTACAAGTTTTCATAACTAATTCTTTAGTTTATTGCATGGGACTGTAGAAGTTGATTTTAGCTTTCCAAGAGCAATAAATAATAATATAATTTTAGCCATTTTAGTAAACAAGTCTTGGGGACTAATACTTAAGAGGTCTGCCATTTGGGGAGAACAGTAGTTGCAGATTAACATGTTCTAACAATGGTCCACGTAGAGGAGGACAGGACATTTACCTACTGGACTTAAGAAGTATGTGTAGATAGCAGAAAATTTGGTTCTCTTCCTTGCCCTAAAGGAGAATATAGTCTCCTCTAGTAGGTAAGAGACTTTGTTGAATCTTAGCTTTCCTTCTGTCTCATTTTACACAATCTATCTGTTTTTTATCTCTCTGCAGTTAGCTTGTTATTCACATTCCCAGGCAAATTCCCTCTTTTTGACTTCAACAGTTCTTGTCTTCATTTCTCAAGTTTCTCATCAAAGTCATCACCACCACCAAGATGTAGTCAGACTTACTGGGATCTCCACTTTCACTTTTTTGACAGATTCTTAATTTGAGCAGATTTTTGTGGGGAGACCAAAGGACTCTTTGCTAATAAAAAGAGCAAATCTCTTCTCTGAAGTACATGAGGGCTGCACATAATGAAGAGATTTCCTCCAAGGAATCTTCAGGTTTTATGAAAGACAAAGCTTCGGTGTTGGAAAAAAAGATTGAGTTTTCTTAGCTGCAATTCCTGCTTTCCCATTCTATCCACACAAAAAAAATGCGGTTTCAGACTTAAACCTGGTGTGGAAGTTTTCTTCTAACTGTTGATTTGGCTAAGTCATAATCCCTTAGAAACAGAATCTTTAAATAAGAGATGCTGAGTAAATTTTGCTAATGTGTAGCCTGATTAGCTCCATGTGTAATGCAGTTAATTTCTAATTAAGAATACTGTGATCTTTTTAATGAGAAATAAATTTTAATGAATCAAAATTGAAGTTTACCTTTGACTAATAGAGCCTTCGTTTCATCACAGACCCCTTCATTTCTGCAGATAATAACTTTTTTCTTAAGATTAGATTTGAACTAAACTTAAATATATTACAGATACATGTATTTCAGCTTCAATTTTTAAAACACTTTAGTAACTTCCGGAGAGGAAAAGTTTATGACTTTAGGGAAATAGGAGACCTGGAGTAGGTAGAAAGAAATGTATTTCTTCTATTCCTGCAACTTGGCATTTTTGAACTGTTGTTTTTTTACTGATGTTTTGTCTTTAAGAAGATACTTCTATGTCACAAAGAGGGGTTTAGAAATGCATATAAATACTTTTCTTTTACCACATTGCTTCCTGTCAGAACTTGAATATTTTACTAGCAAAGCCATTGGTCTTCACTAGTTTCTTGCATTTCAGCAATACGTGGAATGAGGAATAGTTAAGTATACCACTATGCACTGAAACAAGCTTAATCTTGCTGACATCTCAGTTGATTGCCATGTCTGGAAATACCCATAGCAAGACTATGCATCTGATCTGTTTATGTACTGGTTTGTTTTTTTTTTCTATAAATTGTGAAGACTGCAGAACTGGTAAAAATATTTAGTGTGTTGATAGTCATGAATTGTACTAGATATGTAAACAATTGCTGAATGTTAATGTATAATGAATTTTTATCATTCGTTTAGGTCAAATACATATTTTCTGACAAAACGGGTACCCTGACATGCAATGTCATGCAATTTAAGAAGTGTACTGTAGCAGGAGTTGCTTATGGGTATGTATTTTTATATACTTTTCTTTATCTGTGTGCCTTTCTTTTCCTCTGCCTGTGCATGTGTACCCGTGTATTAATACTATAGTTAAAATAAACTTAGACCTGGCAATATATAGAACTAGGAGTCAGTGTGTTTGTGACTACAAAGTGTTACTTATAAGAGATATGATCACTTCAGTCATGACATCTCTTTCTGCAAAGAGGAACAAGAATAAAGTTCAGATACCAAAGACTTACTGCTGTAATGCACCTTCAGTATGCATGTTTTTGCTGTTGTTCCATCTGTTTGATGTCGTTACTAAAAAAAAAAGTCTTCCCTGATGGGTGCAAAAATTTGTATCATTGTCCATGCTTCATATTTTATGTAGACACTCATACTAAATAATATGCAGGAGGAGCAAGAATTTGAATTACAATATTGTAGCACGATCTACAGTACTATAGCCGCCATCCAAGTGGCTTTTATGAATACTGTTATAGTGGCGTAACTCCAAATATCCATGTCACTGTTAAGAAATCTCTCCAAATAAATGCAAACAAAGCATTTTACTATTTATTTGTCAGCAGTTGTAGCCAACTCCTTCAACAAAGTTTGTAAAAGCCTCAAAATTCTGAGGCTGTTTATTTGAAAAAAAATCATTAGAGCAATAAATAGAGCAGAAACACCTACAATGTAAATGCCAATGCGTCTTGCCAGTATGTGAGATGCTGGACCTGGGCCAATCTCAGAGCATGCAGTAGCAGATAATTAAGACACCTCTAGAAGTGGGTAGAGATTAGGCAGAGTTTGTGAAATTAAGTGTTAGGCTTGTGCTAAAGGCGATGATTTGGCTTTAGTGGCTTTATCATTTGGATTTCTTTGAAAAATCCTAGGCTTTCTATTTTGAAAAAAATGGATCTTTATTGCATTAACCATACTGATGATTTTTTTAATCAACTGTTGTAATAAAATACAGTTCTAACCCTCATATTTCAAATATGTGTATAAATGTGTGTGTATATATATTGGGCACATAACTAAAAACTGCCTTTTGTTTAATGAGAAACTGTAACAATATATGTATACTGAAATATAAAGCAAGATTTGTAAAGAAAGCAAATGCTTTTGTATCTGCTAGTATAAGTTAGTAAATAGACAAGATTCCAATTGAAGAAAAATGATCATTTATAGTTTACGAAGCCTCAAGAGAAACATGATATTTTCACAACGTTTTATTAACTAGGTACTAGAAAAATACTCAGTTGAAATACCTTGAAAACTTCTTTTAGTAATTTAATTTCATTAACTAACTTCCTTTTTATACATGGTCCAATTTTTTAGCCTTTGTGATTCTTTTTCCTCTCCCTGTTTCTATTCTTCCCTTACCTCTTACGCAGCCATTGCCCTGAGCCTGAGGATTATAGTGTTCCTTCAGATGATTGGTAAGCGCTCAGAATCATTTAGTATGTGGTGTTTGTTGAAGATTCAAGCTTAAAATCAGTGAATGAGATTTTTAGAAACAGAGCTAAATGTGAGATGGTTTATTCAAAAGTTATTTTTAGCTTCGAATTGATGCTAGAATTGATTGTCAGAGTCTTATACAAATTTATGCCATCAGAATTCTGCAGCCTGAGGTTGTGTACTCTGGAGTAGAATTGCTAGTAGGATCACTGAGGTATAGTACAGCTATTCTACTGACAATCCTGTACAACTCAGAATTGCTTATTGGAGAGAAAGTTTTGTCATTTATTAAGGTAGTTGGTATTATGGTAACTTTGATCACACTTTTCTACTGTTACTTAATCATAGGTTAGTAATAATCTCTAACATATTTGAAAAAAAAGGCCATATTTGAATGAAAAATATGCAATAAGTTATTGTTAATATTTACTTCCTACAGATAATTTTAGAATATTGGCACTACCTAGTTCTTAACTGAAACTGAGATTAAAGCACCCAAATACACTTGGCGCCAACATTACTTGCTTAACAGGGACCTCAGGAAACACTGAGTCTTGGCTTCCTTTCTGCTGCCATCTGCATGATGCCTTGTACATCTTCATCATTCTTTCTTAAACTAAATATTTGCAGTACCGTTCAAAATAAGCACAGGTAGATCGGGGAAAAAACGTCATTTACAGTCTTTAAATTATGACTATTGTATTTTTTGAAAGTCACAGCAAGATATGTCACACAAAACTGTAACATGTGGTTGTCTTATCTTTAAAAAGTTTGAAGGAAAAAAAACTTGCTTTGCTAGATTAGGATTAATAATTCTTTCCCAACATACGCGTAAAAAGTGGCACACATGCACACCCCAAAATCTTACCTGACCTGAATATCCTCAGTTGATGTAGTGGCAAGATGTTTCTTACAAAGATGTACAAGTGTGCTTTACTGCACAAGTGGTTTCATTAAAATGCAATGCTTACATAAAATTAAACATGCTTACTTATATTTATTAAATAACACTGGTTTTGACTAATACATGTCAAAATCCTTGTAAGCACATCTGAAATGGATGAACTGGTGCCTGAACAGTAGTTCAAAACACAACACAGCACTTCCCTTTTATAAGCAATGAACGTCTTGTAAATTCTTATGAAATAAGATGCTTAAGAATATTTTTGTTTGTAAATCTATTGTAATTAATAGAATCTGTTTATGACAGAAACAATTCTAGTACTAAAATGACTAATGTACCGAATTCCAAATCTTTTAAGTCTTTATTTTTTGTATTAGAAAGAATTGTTTTCCAGTTTGACATAACCTATACCTGCAAATATTTTTCCTTTTTTTAGCACTGACAATCCAGAAAATGTCTTGAAGTCTTTCTGTCAGAAAGCTTTAAGCAAACAAAGCTTAAACCTTAGACTCTAAACAAATTTAATGTATCAAAAATTGTTAACATTTGGCACTTCGAGACCTATTTGCTTTACATTTAAAAAATAAACAGTCTTGGTGAATGAGGATGCTTCAGATTTCTCACTTTAATTATAGGTTTGCAGAAAAAGTAGTCCTTGAGTGGTTATATAGAGGAGATACTGCCATTTTATACTCCTTCATGGTAGTGCAGGACTAACACAGCTCACTCGTGGTTTTCATAGAGAATCTTCAGACTGCCTTTGATGTATATGGCTTATCCTTCAATGTAAATCACCAAATGTGTACACTTTCTTCTAAGATTATGTGATCCAAGGCAAGATCCAAAGTAAATATTAAAAAAGAATACTTTCCTCCAGCTGGGTTCACATTTCAGCACTGTTCTGTTTCACTGAGGTTCAAACTCGACTAGATTGTCTTAATACTCAGCAGTCAGCTACAGTAAGTTTTCCTAGAAGTATCTGCATTTTTGAGCTCTCAGCTTCAGCCAGAAGATTTGTGTGATTTGAGGGACGTTAGTGTATGACTATTTCTCCAGAACCATCTCCACTTTGCATCTCTTCAGTCCCTTCCTACTTCACCAATGTTGCTGTGTCTTCTTTATCCATCAGTTTACTAGGTTCCTTTTTGGTTGTAATAGGAAACAAACTCTCTCTGTGCAGACTTTTCTGATGTCTGAACACAGTTTGCTTACCCCTTTCAGATACCGGACTTTATTTTCTGCAAACCTTTGCAAACCTATTCCGACACTGCTAATTTATCAAAGAAATGTGATCTCTTCGGGCATATATTTTTCTGATTTCCTTCAATAATCTTATCCTAGAGATCAGAAGATAAGATGCCACAGTCTTACATTGTAGATTTATTTCAACTTCTCCCTGCATTACCTGAAGTCAGCAGAGAAACTTCGCTGGATTTAAGTATATTAATATAAATCAAGGTTTTTTAAAATTAAATAAACTTTGGAGATGTGAAACAAGTACCTTTTCACTTCATTTTTTCACAGTATGTGATTGAAGCCTTTATCGTAACAGCTACAAACCAAAATTTGTGTTTGATGTTAGCACAGTAGTGTAAGTGATTTGTTACATGAATTGTTAAGTATATGCTAATGATGATCTCGTTTCTACTTAATTATTTCTAGGCAGGGCTCACAAAATGGAGAAGAAAAAACATTTAGTGACTCATCATTACTGGAGAATCTTCAAAGCAATCATGTAAGTTATATAGAAACAATTACTATTGTTTTGTGAAATGAAACCATTGCTTTCAGTAAGTCAAAAGGTGAGGTTCTTTGAAGGAAAATAAACTACCTGTTTACACACAATCAGCATGCCCTCATCAATACTTTTATAATTGTTTGTTGCTGACATGTGTTAATTAGATCCAGCCCTTTTTTATTGCTTTTTTTTTTTGATGGTATGAATCAGATGTTATGACTGAAATATAATAGTCTTACGTTCTTCATTGTCTAGGTGTTTGAACATGAGTCATGCCGTTCATATGATGTCATGACATCCATCAAAGTTTTCAGAATCAGTACAGTTAACTTACTATCCTGACACGACTTAGTATTTCTGTGCCCAGGCTTAGACAGGAGTCAGGAGTTAACAATATGCATTGTTTTTTTTGTACATGCTTCCATGAGGTTAGATCATCAGATGATGAAGTGAAACAGACATTATAGAGGCTGGTATCTATCCCAAAGAGACAATACATTTCACAGAAAGTTAATGGCTTAGTTTATTATTCAACTAAGAAACAGTACCATCATTACCATTTTCTCTTTGTCAATTGTAGAGAGATATTTTTGCATATTCATAACCAAGAGCACCTGCCTTAAGTAGTGTAACCATTTGTTCTCTTTTGGAAGAGTGTAAATAAATTACTCTTTTCTTTCCTTAAATTTTGTCTTCCTGGGAGGATAATTTCGAGATAACTGGCAGACAGTGAAGCATTTTGTTCCTACAGACGGGTCGATCTTAAATGCTAGACACCCAGGTGCAACTGTCAAGCCTATCTAAAGCAGAGGGGGCTCTCACAGTTACCTACACAGGCCATTTTCAGTGCTGGTAACATAGACTGCTTGGAAGAGGCGTCGTCCTGTTACAGAATCTTTGATGTGCAGGTAGTTAAATCTTGAAAGTCTTGGTAGGTATGTAGTATGAAGTGTATATATAATACGAGCATACAAGCTATAAAAATGCATTTGCATACATCTTAAAGTTAAAAATTTAGGCACACATTCAAAGAGAGGCTTCACTACTGTATGTTTAATGTGTTCTGAATTGCTTCGTAAAAGAATCTGTAATTCAGCCTTTCGAACACATCGTAGGGGATTTGGGGGCCTTGAGTGGAAGAGGACAGGAACCTACCCGCTCCCGTTAGTGTTTCTGCACTGTGGAATTACATTAGGTTTTCACAGACTATTGTATGTTATGGAGTAAATGTAATGTTATCTTCATTGTTAATGTTCTTAGTCTGCTACTAATCTGAAATACTATAAATATGCTACCAAAAAACTCAGTTGAGGCGGCAACTGCTTTGAACTTATTCAGGGGGAACGGGTTTCTTTTAAACAACCATTCAGGAGCCAGTTCATTCATTTTGCAAATTTCAGCTGAACTAAAACAATTTTTAGCTGTGTTCATCAAAAGTAATCATACAGTCTTTTCCCCTCTTTTGGCTAAATCCTTTAAAATTGTTTCAGCTTTGTACACTTCGAAGTGCCTGGGGCATTCATCTAAATGTCTGTCTTCAAAAGCTGTCTTCCTGGCCTTTCAGTATTTTCCACGATTTTCATGTTCGGTTGCAATGTCTTTTTAAAGGTTCTTAAAAAGTGTTGTCAAATATAATATTAGACAAAAGTAATGTAAAAGGTATTATTTTTAGTAAAAGAGAGAACATTCAAAGACTTCAGTGAATGAAGTAAAATTCTTTTAATACAGCACTCAGACTTACTTTCCCTATAAAATGCTTATTTGAATTACTCTTTTTGCTTATCTACTTTTGATTGTTACGATAGAAAATGCTCTAAATTCGATCTGCATAGCCTGTATTGAAGTACAGCAGCAAGAAGTTATTCTGCATGCTGAAATTAGTGTACAGGTAACATCTGTTTTGGTTAGTTGTTGATAGTTTCTAACGAACAGAAGAAAAATCTTTCGTTAATTTTTTCTTGATTATTATTTGTCCATATCTATTATTACATTTCAGTTAGTTATTGCTTAAATGAATAATCACTCTCTGACATCTCTTTTTTTTCTGGTAGCCAACTGCACCTATAATATGTGAGTTTTTGACAATGATGGCAGTGTGTCATACAGCAGTTCCAGAAAGAGAAGGTGATAAAATTATATATCAAGCAGCATCTCCAGGTGAGACGCATATAGTAGAGTGTTCTATAGACTCAACAAGCAAATTTTATTCAAAGTCTATTGTTTTTTGAAGTATCTTTCAAAATTAAAAAACAAAACATATCCCTCAAAAAAAAAAGAATTGGTTTAAAAAAGAATTTAGAATTTTCTGATTTGCTTTAGAAAATACAGATGGGTGTCCTGTGGATTATGCAAGTGCAGAGGGTGATTAACAGCACTCCTAAGGTGGTGTCAGATTGCTGTGAAAGTCTGAAGGAACTGTTCAAATGCAAATAGAAATCAAACCAGGAGACAAATTGAAGTCCTTGCTTGTGAACCTATTCTGTTCTTGGGAACCATGATATTGATTTAGAACAAAAACTATGTTTGTAATAAAAAATATTAAAAAATGTTTTTAATAGGATGAAAGTTGTGTTAAGTTCTACTAGAGAGAGAGAAAATATTATAGTGCAAAAGGTCTGGTTCAAACCTGCTGTGGTTCATAGTCAATTTTCGAATTCAGGAAATGATGAAGCAAGACAAAATGATTAAAATAAGCTCAACTCTGCTGAGCTAACATATTATAACAAGTTATGATGGGAGAAATGACATGAAGCGCAGAGAGTCTCCAGCGTTGCTTTTCCCTGTCTGCTCCAGTTCCCAGGTGGCTATCTCTCTTTGTTCTGTCCTTCAACAATTGGAAGACAAGGGCAGAGGTAGGGCCATAAATAAAGCTAACTGGGCCATAGCAGTGTTTTATTGGGCATTGTGAGCGAAGTCCCTTCTGACATCCTGAGCCATTTGGAGAGAGCTGATGCCTATGGGAGACTGGATTGCTGCTTGAAATGTTCCTGAATGTAGGCATTGAAGTTATCTGTTAATTACAGGAATGACTTACCACTCTTTTCTTCTAAAACAGAATTTACACAAAAAGAAACATACCTTGTCCAGTGCCCTGTTGAGGAAGGTATTTGGAAAGTAACGTTTAGTCAACATCCAGACCTCTAACTCCATGAAAGTAGGCATACAGGGAGAAGGAAGGCAGGAAGTCACAGAATCACAGAATGTTAGGGATTGGAAGGGACCTCAAAGGATCATCTAGTCCAATCCGTTGGGTCTTGTCTCTTGATGAAGTGATGTCATTGTGTCTACTGGAACATAAAATTCATTAGTTTACGACTTAAAACTTTGAGGAGGACTTTCTCGTTACTGAGCTGAGAGGCGTGTTCCTTTGGAGGCTTACTTTTTCTGAACTGTAAACTCATTTCAGCAGTTTTAACAGAAGAAACAAAGAGTCCTTTCCAGCACCTTGTGTAATCTTAAAAATCTATAAAGGAAAAAGGAAGTCAAAAGTAGAAAAGCTTCGACTATGTCCATTAAATCACAGGGTAAACTAACAGTTTTATGGCACATCTGTAAAATAACTAATTGACCTGTTGCAGATGAAGGAGCATTGGTCAGAGCAGCCAGGCATCTTCGTTTTGTATTCACTGGAAGGACACCTGACTCAGTAATCATAGAGTCTGTAAGTACTTTGGAGTTACACTATAATTTGCTGTATTTTCTGTCGCCATATTAAATAATTTCCAAATAACTGCATCATGGTACATGTTTATCAAGATGTTGTTTGGTTGATTTTCGTTTTTTTGCTTGAGTTTTTGCATTGATTCTCACTTTTTTTTTTTCTTTATTCTTCAGTTGGGACAGGAAGAGAGATATGAATTGCTAAACGTTCTAGAATTTACAAGGTAACAGCATGTTGTGCACTTAGTGTCTTTTTGTGAAAATACTTCATGAATTTCTCTTATGACTGAAAATGTTTGCTTTTTTTATATTTGTAGAGGCAAAGTGGCGTTTGTCTCTTTAATATGTGATCATACTGTAGGCAAAGCAGTGTATGTGATTAAGGTCACACTTCTGATTTTATTGTAAAATGTTTTCAGAGACATCTATTTTTTCCTGTTATCTCCTTTTCAGCTAATAGTTTTCACTTTTGTGCAAAGATTGAAATAAAACTTTGGTCTCAAAACTTTAAAAAATTATGTGAAAAGATAGTATAGGATAGTACTTGAACTTTAAATGTATTTCTGAAAGCCTTAGCACCATGTGATTGATTAAAAATGCAATATTTAGAGGCAGGAGGGTAGATTCGAGTAAGTGTTATTAGTAACTTGTGTTTGCCTTGACTGATAAAATGAAATTTTGCTTTTGACCTTCAATATACTTGCATAATTATGACTTGTTTAAGTATTCTAGAGTGAAACTCATTCTCTTCTGAGCAGCATTACTAGAGCATTGATCAGTTAGTTTTCTTGCAAGCTGAGTTTATCACACACTTTTCTTGCAGTAGAAATTTTTTGTCAAAGCTGTTGGAATTATAAAGGTACCCAGAAGAAATCTGGATGGAACTTCACTTGTTATGTAAATCTGTTTGAAATGTATCCATGTATGCAATCTGTGTTCTAAGTATTCGTGCAGGCCCATTGCTTACTTTGGCACAGGATGAGGAAGGGATTTGTATGTAGAGGAAGGTCTTTTTTTCATAGAATGATTACTTGTAATCGTGCCTGTGGAAAGTGATTATTGTTTTCCTTCCTGTCCTATTATGTTTCCCTTGAGCTTAGCTAAAGAAGCAAAAAGTTCAAAAAACAAAAATCCAAGGCAATACTGGAAAAATGGGCTGAAGATATATAGGTTGGGTGAAATGAGAGAAGTGGTTGCCTGTAATTATAATAGCCATAATAATCTGAAACATAAAGATCACCACAGTAAAAAAAAATAATGTGACAGAAAGTAATTTTTATAGTTTTGAATGTCTTTTAATGACTACTTGCAATTAATGTTGGGTTTATATATCATAGAGAGCATACTTGAAATTTTTCAGATTTATGCCATAGTTTCATTTTTCTTTAGGCACTACTTTCACTTTCTGTTCTGGGAAGTTAGCCGGTATGTAGCACAAAGTGCATTGTTGTTAGTTTGACATCTGTGGAAGTTTTATACTGCGTTGATGGGGTAGCAGCGAAGGATTCCTACTTTGTTTCTGGTTTTCATCTTTGTCTTGGTTTCATAGATCTTTTTAAACTTCTGTGTCGATCTAAAATTGTAATTTAAACATCGATACTTTATGGAGAAAGGAGAATTGCTTTTAAATCTTAACCTTTGGAGCATTAAGGTTTTTGGTGGATATCAATCACCTAGCTTTATTAAACATTCAGTTCTTATAGCTGTTCTTATTCTGCAAGTTAGCTTTGCTTGGAACTGACTTGTTGGAAGCACTAGAGGTCACCCTTGTTCCACAGCAAAAGTTTTGGCACTGTATGGGTAGGAGCATGCGCCTACGGAGAAGTAGTCTGTAGCGATTAAACTGTTTAGTTAAGAGTTCCCAGGTGTTCCAAGTTTTTCCCGGAAAAAATGCAAGCTAATTCCTTGCCACCTTCCCATACAAGCTAGGTAAGACTCTTCTGCAAGTAGAGTGCAACAGTGTCAGCATTTGATAGGACAGTCTTTTGGAGAAGTCTGTTACAGAAGTAAAACTTGTAGGAGTGATTGGTAGTGTTGTCTTTTACGGTATTCTCCTTTTGCAGTGATCACAGCTGGGCCTGTGAAAAGAGAAGTAGCAGATTTATACAATATAGTAATTATACTTTGTTCATAGAAAGGAAGTAGCTCTTGGTCTAACTGGCAGGTGAATATACTGAAAGCAACTGATAATCCTTAACCAGCTGACAATTATTGCTAAAACATAGTGCCAATATGTGTGGAGCAAATATATCTTGATAACTTGTGCTGAATTTAGGTTGCCTCCAGTAGATACTGTGTTCAGATGCCACAACTGCCCTGGTACCTTAAGCTCAAGGAAGTGAAGAGTGGTTCAGACTCTCTGCCGTTCAGGGCTCCCCATACTGTCAGGGAAGGAATTGTACAGTGTTATGTGCATTCTTGTATTCTTGTCACCTGGAACCATAACAAATAGAAAAAACGCAGCTATCTCTTGGGAGCCAAAACCAGCTCCTAGGTGTATGTATCTATGGGGCAGAGTGTCAGTTAAGGATCCAGAAGCAAAGAATCACAGAATCATAGAATGGTTAGGGTTGGAAGGGACATCAAAGATCATTTAGTTCCAACCCCACTGCCATGGGCAGGGAAACCCTCCACTACACCAGGTTGCCCGAAGCCTCATCCAACCTGGGCTTGAACCCTTACAGGGATGGGGCATCTACAACTCCTCTGGGCAACCTGTTCCAGAGTCTCACCACCCTCTGAGTGAAAAATTTTTTTCTTATATCCAATCTAAATCTACCCTCTTTCAGTTTAAAGCCATTGCCCCTTGTCCTATCACTACATGACCTTGTAAAAAGCCCCTCTCCAGCTTTCCTATAGGCCCCCTTTAAGTACTGGAAAGCTGCAATAAGATCACCCCGGAGCCTTCTCTTCTCCCGGCTGAACAGCCCCAACTCTCTCAGCCTGTCTTCATAGCAGAGGTGCTCCAGCCCTCTGATCATCTTCGTGGCTCTCCTCTGGACTCGCTCCAACAGCTCCATGTCCTTCTTGTGTTGGCGACCCCAGAGCTGAATGCATTATTCCAGGTGGGGTCTCACGAGAGCAGAGTAGAGGGGCAGAATCACTTCCCTCGACCTGCTGGCCATGCTTCTTTTGATGCAGCCCAGGATACGATTTGCTTTCTGGGCTGCCAGCGCACAGTGCCAGCTCGTGTTCAGCTTCTAAACCACCAGCACTCCTAAGTCCTTTTCCTCCGTGCTGCTGTCGGCAGAGAGATTGATTCTATGATTCTATATTGTAATAGTAGCAGCAATCCATAGTAGCAACAAGTATAGATTTCCATACGTTACAAGTTGCTACTAAATTATCACTAGTGAAGAAATTCACTTACAATCAATTACCTATGTGTGTGTGCATGCATACACATACACACACACATACATACATATATATTATTTAAAATAATATGGGTACAGTGCTCACCAAACCACTCCCAGGAATGGGGCCTCAAAGTCTCACTCTGAAGAGTGAGGGTCTAGAGTCAGCCAGGTGTTCCTGGTGATCATCCAATAATTTGTCTAGGAGATCTTGGAGGAAAATTCATGCAGGGGGAGTTCTCGGAGAGAGGCTTCATTTTGGGTAAAAACAAGTCATTTTTATATGGCAGAGACATAAAGAGGCGTAGGACACCACTACTTGGAGCAGTCAGTAAATGTTGAGCATGACGTTGCATGATATGGAATATGCCATTGGCCAATTTGGGTCTGTTGCTCTAACTCTGCTCTCTCCAGCTTCTTGTGAACCTGTACTCTAGCAAAGCTTGGGAAGTTGAAAAGTCCTCGATTTCTTAGCAACAACTGAAAGCATTGATAAATTATCGACGTTCTTCTCCTACCAAATCACCTACTAAATAAAAAACAGTAGTATTCTAGCTACTAAGAAGTAAATTAACTCTCTCCCAGCCAAAACAGGGACACTGTAATTCCTCCACAGTTCCTTAACTCAACATTCTGGCAAGTGTAATGAATTTAAGTAGCAGTAGGCTAGATAGTCTTTCCAGGAATCAAAGTAGATATGAGACTTGCTTTTATTTTAGGCAACTTAAGTGCATTTTGAATGATCTGAATTTCTCCACTGTTGTCTAAGCAGATCCCTAACTGTGTAAGGGTTTTTGGAGTTCTGCTTATCTGAGTTTTCTTGGATCAGAGATGAAAAGGAGAAAGAGTTGCAGCAATTAATGCCTTTTTATGCTCTCATTTGCAATATTCATGGTAGAAATGTAGTTTAATATTGCTGTTCAGATGTCTGTACTTGAAGCAAAGTGCATGCACAGGTGGAATAGGAAAATATTTTCTTGAAGATACTATTCAGTCAGTTACATCACCAGTAATTATAAAATTCTTTCCGCCACCTATCGCCATACATTCCACTTATAGGATGTTTTCCATGGCAGTCTGAACTTCAGGAACCATTCATACAATAATGCTATTTGATGACCTATAACTGGGATCCACTTCCAAGAGGAACTGAAATTGAAAGAACCATTTACTTCTATCTCTTTTGTGTACAATACTGTGAACTGTTATGAGAAATGTGTTTTGTTCCCTGAGTAGTACCTGTGGATTTATTTAAAAGAAATATGGTATAAATACACATTTTGACTGGGCATGATCTTGAATCTAAAGTATGCTTGTTGGAGCACCTCAAAGGGAAGACAAAAAGCAGAGAGTGACAGTCTTCTCCATACTTTTGTCCAATTCTTACGTCATTCATGAGGAGAAATACTTACATCTCATTAATGATCGAGAGCCAGACAATTCATAGCATACTTCAAACTTTGCATGATAAATGAAACTCTGGGATGACAATAATAGGATTGCAGCACAGCACAGTGTACGAGAGACTCTTTGGCTAGGAAAGAAGAAAAAGCTGAAATGATCCATGATGCACTACCTGTTAATAATATTGGTCACAAGTGCTTTGTGCTTTAAGATGCATTTTTGTGATCAGTAGACAGTAATCAGATGAAAGTGAAGATTCTCAAATTTGTTTCTATGGGGGAAAAGGCCTACAGAAGCGTGCATAGAAAACCAGCGTTCACTCTAATTATGAGACAGTAAAACTGATTTTTTAATCCTAGTTAGGGTTAGAAGGGAACTTAAAGATCATCTAGTTCCAACCCCCCTGCCAGAGGCAGAGACACCCTCCACTACACCAGGTTGCTCAAAGCCTCATCCAGGTTGGCCTTGAACACTTCCAGGGATGGGGCATCCTCAGCTCCTCTGGGCAACCTGTTCCAGTGTTTCACCACCCTCAGTGTAAAAAATTTCTTCCTTATATCTAATCTAAATCTCCCTTCTTTCAGTTGAAAGCCATTACCTTTTATCTGAGAAGGTAATTCAGAATAGATAGTCCTTCTTTTCCTTTATCTTATATGAGATATATATTGGTATTCTTAAGTAAAATGTTGGTAGATATTTATATTTATGATCCACTTTATACGGGGCATTTATTTTTCTTTCAGCACTAGGAAGAGAATGTCAGTGATAGTTCGCACACCATCGGGAAAGTTAAGACTCTACTGCAAAGGAGCTGTGAGTTTTATTCTCCTTTCACTATGTTAAAGAACATGTGCTACAAATACAAACATAAGAGCAAAAAGTTGTTATAACTATAGTCAAAACACTGAAAATGTGGGGGAAGGAATGTTGATGCCTTTTTCAATTTACGTCGTTTTCCTATATAGCTGTTTAATGTGATGAACTAGTTGAAGGGTTTTTTTGCCAACTGCCTAGAAAGTTATGACAGACTTGTTCATCCTGTTCTTTGTACTGACTAATACCTTTGTGCTTCCTAGTAATTGCTTCCTTCTGTACTCCAAGAAAATAATGAATGTGTGTTTTAGTCTGTCAGTTACTTGCTGAAGTAGCTGAGCATGAATCACTAGGTAGAAATATTAATCTAGCGTAAGTGACTGGATAGGAATTTTAACCTACCATTGATGTTATGCCAGAAGTAAATTTTCCTGAAAACAGGATCTATGAGAAGATGTTTTAGTCATAATGTATCTGGAAGTGGCAGAGTTGCTCATTAGTTCTTGTTCTGTATCTTAAGTCAAGTTTGAGGGGGAGCGAAATGCAAATACAGTTCCTGAATGGTTTAAAAAAAAATGAGGTTGATTGAATATAAATGTCATAGAATCATAGAATCATAGAATGGTTAGGGCTGGAAGGGACCTTCAAAGGTCATCTAGTCCAACCCCCCTGCAAGGAACAGGGATATCTCCAACTAGATCAGGTTGCTCAGGGCCTTGTCCAACCTGGCCTTGAACGTCTCCAGGGATGGAGCATCCACCACCTCTCTGGGCAACCTGTTCCAGTGTTCTACCACTCTCATAGTAAAAAATTTTTTCCTAATATCCAACCTGAACCTACCTCCCTCCATTTTAAAACCATTACCCC